ATGTTTAACTCAAATTCAATCAGTTGCTACAGCCAAAGTAAAAGAAACATTGACTACAAATGTTGAAAAATCATCAACGAAAACAAAAAAAGATAAAACAAATGAAACAACAATACCACAAGATAAAACAGTAGATTCTTCCACAACAGCAACAACAACAAATCTATCTGAATTAAATAAAATTTATTCAGAAAAAATTCATAGAATTGTTGATGAAATAAGTAAACTATCGTTGGTTGAAGTTATGGATTTAAATGAATTATTGAAAGTAAATATTTTTATTTATTTAGAGATTTTTATTTCATAATTCGAAATTTAAAAAAAACATTTAATTTCATTGTTTTTTCTATCTTCCTATAGAAAACACTCAAGATCCAAGACGTGCCGATTGTGGCATCGGGAGGAGGCAGTGGTCTACCACCACCGACCGCACCGGTACGTCTGATTCTTTCCATGAGTGAATTGCATTTTCATTGTACGAATTATGAAACCTATTATGACGCAAACACATTTAAATTCTGACGAATTTTTTCTTGCTGGAGAAATCTTTTGATTCGAGTTTATAGTTATGATAACAGATTTTATAATCTTAAGATTTGTTTTAAAAAAAGAAAACGTCTGTTTTTCACAAAAAAGTGCTTTACTCTGCATGACAATAATCGTTTCTTCTTGGAATTATTCAAAACACATAAGATGATATAGCATATAGCAAAAAAAAAACATTACAAAAAATAAGTTTTAATGTTTTAAACTCAACATATTCATTTTTTAACTTTAATCCTATTGATTCATGAATAATTGTATAGCGTGTTTGTATCTAATTTGAATAAAAAGATTATCCATATTCTACAGTAATGATCAAAAATATAAGATTCACGTATTTTCTGACTTTTTTTTCTTCAAATATTAAGTATTTAATTCAAATTAAAATAGTAGTTTGAATAGCCAAAGAAGTTCTCTTTCAAATGTATTCCATGTCAATATATCATAGATGGCCTATGAGAGCAAAGGTTCTGCAAAACCCAACACGAGAGTTTTCAAATTCCAAAAGACTGTAAAAGTTAGCTTTTAAGAGTACCACTTTAAAGAGCGCAAAATTCTGAATAATAAAAGCGATTGTCGCACATGCTACGACCTTCTCTTAGAAAGTTATAAGCATCATAACTCGAAATTTATAATAGCATTGCTAAAAAATGCATGCTTTTGTTTTTTATGATGCTTATAACGTTTTAAAGGAAGATCTTAGGAAGTGCGGCAACTCCTCATTTTATTCAAGATTATGAGCTCTTTAAAATATAATACTCTTAAAAATTAAGTTTCAGATAGTCTTCTGCATTTGGTTTTTCAGAGACTTTTCTCTCATAGTCTATCTACAGAATTTCGGTATTTCTATAATGCTAACTACGTGATTGAAAGATAAAATTTGATGTGAGTCTACGCAAAAGAAATAAGAATAACATACACACACACACAAAGACTTGATAGGCAAAATAGTCTTTGAATCTCAATCGTACAAAACGAGGTTGCAATTCACTCGTATATTAATTATACTTTTATTTTTTGCTTTTTTCATCTATTGCAGAAAAAAGAAGAAGAAGAAGAAGAGGAAGGTGTTCGACTAACATCTCAATCCGTATTTAAAGTACGTTTGATCAAATTTGATGAAACAAAGAAGGTACCAGTTATTAAACAAGTTAAAGATGTCGTTGAAAATATCAATCTTGTTCAAGTTAGTATTATTTTTCATACGTATACATATATATTCTCTTTACATTTATATGTTTGATTGATTTTTTTAGGCAAAAAAATTAGTTGAATCAATTCCTCAAGTTCTACGTGATAATCTAAGTAAAGCCGATGCTGAAACAATGAAAGCCAAAATTGAAGCAGCTGGTGGTGTGTGTGTCATTGAATGAGAGTATTATACAGATTTTTTACTCTCAACTAGTCCGAATCGTTATATACTCTTTTTGGTGTTTTTTTTTTTTTTTTGTTATCCTGTTTTCTTTTTGTATAAAAACAAAAAACAGCTTTATAATCATACGTTAATTTTTTCTTCCTTATCTTTTATGAAGAGTCACTCAATGAAAGAGACAGAAAATAACATTCAAACATTTCTGTTTGTCAACATTTTGTTTTTATCCGTTATTATATATTCTTGTTATTAACAAAGAAAACAAAGAATTACTTTTTTTTCATTCGTTTCGTAGAAGTTTTAGATGGAAACTGAGATAACAGATGCAGTACGACAAGCGGGAAACTTGCAAAATCTTGTTAATCAATATGGAAAGTCATTAGAAAAACGACCAAAAAATGCAAATGGTAAGGAGAATTCTATTCGAATATAAAAAGAAGGACAACCTATGAGCATAAAGTGTCGGTTAAGATTGAAAATATCACATTAACAAAGTAGAATTATTCTGTTTCTTGTTGTTTTTCTGCGTAAAAAAATTCGACAGTAAAACATTATTTATATTTGATGTTTTAGAAAATAAAATAGTGAAGAGAAATTTTTTTTTTGACAAGGTGAAACAAATAAATCTCGTCAATGTCATATAAATGTATCAAGTTTTATTAAGAATATTTATTCAGCATATGAAGATATGCTTATCATAAGTCGTGACAATCGCAAATGATTGAAGAAAAAAAACATAATTTACTGCATTAAAATTATTCATTCTAAAAAACCGAAATTGCGTAATTCACATAACTGAGAAAGTCGTGTAGCGAATGCATTTATAATTTTGTATTCGAATAGAAAATTTCTTTTGTCTTTCAAAAATCATTGAGTTATTTGATTATGACTAACTCGCATTATTTAATCGAAAGAATTAGCAATTTGAACCATACGATTAAGACAGTTTGCTTCAAAGGACCTAATTCAAAAAATTAGATATAAGATCAAACGATATCATAAACTCCTTGTCGCTATAGAAGCTCTCGGCTCTTCTAGAATGTACAAATCTTCAAAAATTTTACGAGGGAGGATATGATGTTGGTGTTACGCAAGAGCAGATTCATACACCAACACCATACCATGATATTATGAACAGAAGAAATATGAATTTGTTAATGTGTGATGATTTTCAATTACTTGTTCCCAGACAATGTGGCAGTTACAGAATATATAGTGATCATGATCTCAGACGTGTATTTGNTGAAACAAATAAATCTCGTCAATGTCATATAAATGTATCAAGTTTTATTAAGAATATTTATTCAGCATATGAAGATATGCTTATCATAAGTCGTGACAATCGCAAATGATTGAAGAAAAAAAACATAATTTACTGCATTAAAATTATTCATTCTAAAAAACCGAAATTACGTAATTCACATAACTGAGAAAGTCGTGTAGCGAATGCTTTTATAATTTTGTATTCGAATAGAAAATTTCTTTTGTCTTTCAAAAATCATTGAGTTATTTGATTATTACTAACTCGCATTATTTAATCGAAAGAATTAGCAATTTGAACCATACGATTAAAACAGTTTGCTTTCAAGGACCTAATCCAAAAAAATTAGATATAAGATCAAACGAAATCATAAACTCCTTGTCGCTATAGAAGCTCCCGGCTCTTCTAGAATGTACAAATCTTCAAAAATTTTACGAGGGAGGATATGATGTTGGTGTTACGTAAGAGCAGACTCATACACCAACACCATACCATGATATTATGAACAGAAGAAATATGAATTTGTTAATGTGTGATGATTTTCAATTACTTGTTCCCAGACAATGTGGCAGTTACAGAATATATAGTGATCATGATCTCAGACGTGTATTTGTCGTCTGAAGAAATATTTTTTATAAGAACATGGTGGCCTGGTCAAAACTAATGTAATGACATCTGTAAAGTCCTGCTTAAATATTTGATATTATCTAGACACCATAGAAGCCATAGGGCTTATAATATGAAGGATCTTCTATTTCTGGTAGTTGCTTACAAAAGATCTTAAACAGAAACATGTCCAACGCTGTTCGGCCCCATATTTTCGCTCTGAGTAGAACTCAGTGAAACAAAGCAAATCTTAACAGGATCTGGGCACATACATTATTCAGTCCCAGTTATAACCATGTTATTAGATTTTCGATCTTTGAGCCAACTACCGATGAAAAACTCACTGACGATATTTTTATCGGAAATTGTGCTTATTGACAAGTTCCATAGCTACTAGAATATTCTAAGAGTTGTACCTCAAATGAATGTATTCTTTATGAGATATTGAGTATTCAACGAATACTTATATGCTACCAGACAAGAAATAGAAAATTGTCTTAGACATCTGATGTCTCTAGAAAAATTATCCGTTTGAGCTGAAATTTTAATGACACTCTAGTGGCCATCAACTCTGTCTATGAATGAAATTTCAGATAAAAATCTCGTCATTGAATTTTTTATGAATAGTTGGTTCTAAGATTGAAAACCTACTAAAACGATCATAACTTTGATTGAATAACACTGAAACCCGAATTCACTTAGATTTTTTTAAATTTCAATCAGTCCTACTTAGAGTCAAATTATAGAGACCAACGGTGTCCAACAATTCGATATGTTTCCTTGCTGATCTCAGAAATCTTACACTAAATCATACTATAAGATTCTCGTAAGATCTCATCGCCATACAAGAATTCCTCTAATCTGATAGTAATATCTTAGACGGCAATGCTTTATATTTAATCAAAATTGTTAAACGTAATTTGAATTAGCGGTCGACAAATTGAGTTCTAGTTCAGGTCTGTTGAAAACGTTCTCCGCTAATGTTCGAACGGTTGAGTTCCAGAAACTGTGCTGTTTTGGGAATGATACTTTCGGTTGCGAAAAATCATTGTCCTATTACTAAAATGCCGTTTCCAAAACAAAACAAAAAAAAAACTTTTCGGACAGTTCACTTCCAGGAATCGAACTGGAAGCTGATCGACCCTTAATTTGATTTTAAACTATTTATTCATAGAAAAATACACAATACATTTTATTGCAAAGAAATCATTGTTTTTCATGTTAATTTTGTATCTTTCAGCAATATATAGTAGTTTGGCAGACGCTTTATCTTATGAATTTAATGAAGATTTTTCAAAAATAAGTCATTATATACGAACAAAAATTGATTGGTCACTTTCATCTAAACGTTCACTTCTTCATCACGTTCAAAGAGATGTATATGATAATAAGGGTAAACTTGATAATATCGCTAATTTTGTATTTGATCCAACATCAAATATAAAACAAAGCCGTCGTTTTCATATATTTATTCCAACAATTGCTTCAATTGAACGACAATATGGTTCTGGTGTTAGTGCATTATTTCATCTTCAAATTGGATTTTTTTTTATTAATTTATTAACATTAATTGTTTGGCTTGCATTAATCATAATTCCATATAATATTTTCACATCGTCAACAACATTTTCAAATGTTACATTTACATTTTCATCAATATTTACAACGAAAGGTTATTTATCTAATTCAATTTTTTTTCAAGGTTCTTATCCTACAGGAGTAATTGCTAATAAATATAATTTATCACTTATATATTTTATAACAACATATATTTATTTTATTATTTGGTTTATTTTTATTACAATACATTTTGCAATAACATATAAAAGAAAAGTATTCGATTCAATATTAGGTACAAAACTTGGCATTGGATTTATGTGTACATTTGCACGATATGACTATACAATTAAATCTGATAAAGAGAAACAAAAACATATAACAACTTTTCAAAGACAATTTTTAGATTTAATTGAAAATGATGAAAGAATTGAATCGAGTCATCGGAATAAATTTAAAACTTGTGGATATAAACTTACACTGATTATAAAGAATTTACTTTATATTTTATTAGCTATTGGATTAGGTAAGAAAAATAAAACGAATAGTTTGATTTATTTTTTATTTTTTCGATTTAAAGGTATTATCAATTGGTTAATTTTATCTTCTTGTAATAATCCAACTATTGATTGCACTGGTTCAATTATTTTTATGGTTCTTATCAACCGATTAATGCCATATTTTATCACTATTCTTACACAAATTGAACATTTCAAATATTTAGCAGATAAATTGAATGCTGTTGGATTTAGGTTAGTATTCTAAAAAACTATGTTTTGAAAATAACTTTCGACAACTAAATTTATTAATTTTTTCTAATCATATAACGGCACAAGAACAAAAGTACAGCGTAAACTTTTTCCGTACCCTATACTCTGATTGAGAAAAAGTTTCTAACTTTTACCCTGCATATCCCTAGATACAAATCAATAGTTGATTGATCAATTCTTATTTTGTACATCTTACTAGGATGTCTGAAACTCAGTTAGACTTGAAGAACGAATCTTTGAATTTTGTTAGACTTAAATGTTTTATATGGCTGCATCTCGAAAACTTTTAGAAGAGTTAAAATGAATATTTATCAGAGTCGATATTTCAGCAGATTTGTAAAATAGCATATACTAACTTCGATTTATCAATGCTTGTAGTATTTAAATCGTTTAAGATTTTCAATGAGTTTATCAGAAAGTTATAGGTTTAATCAATAATCAGTTGAAAAGATTAAGCCAGAATCGTTCCTTAAAATTTGATTTAACGAAAAGTTTCATGATCACTAGATGAACACCAATGAATCGATATCATGTAAAATTGAACTTGGTTATTCTTGTTTATTTACACATACTTCAATTAGAATCTGTTCGATTCAAAATTTACCATCCCGTGTCTGTACTCGAACAGTTCTTTTAATTTCAATGAAATATTTTACACTGAGTCTGATAGTCATTTCGAAAATAGAAGATACTTTTTATCAATTATTTGTATTCTGATACTAGCATACTCTACATATTTTTTCAGACAATATTGACAGTGATCTTATAGCAATTAAGTAAAATTTGGCGGTTATTTTAAGAGTACGATTCGTTGGATCGGTTTCAATCCTGGTTCGGGTTATCAGAACCAACCAAACAGGTTATATATTCAGAACTAAAACCAAGATCATTTCAAGAAATAGAAACCAACAAAAGTGAAAAGTTCGATAATATTTTTTTTACAAATCAGAAAATAATTTACATTAAGTTAATTAGTCAAGAGCACTTTTGCGAAATCATTTATGAAATTTTTTTGCGCACATGAAATATTTTCTTGTTTAGATGTATTGTCTTAAACATATGTATGATGTTATCATTTACCATACATTTTTTTGTTAATGCACCTTCATGTTATGAAACAGCTTATGGTCAATATATCTATATGCTTTTGTTATCAGGTACATTTCAAAAATACTTTCATAGTAAAATATAGAATATTTTGTTTTAGATTTATTTGCATCATTGGTCTTTCCAATATTATTTGGTCTTTTATTTGATTTAATATGTGGTAGAAAGAGTCGTAATTTTGATGGTATTAATCTTCATGTTCAATTAAGTCCACCTGTATTACTCTATAGTCAATTTCTTATATGGCTTGGAATTTATTTTTCTCCTCTTATATCGATAATGGTGTTAATAAATATTTTATTTTCATTTATTTCTCATCGTTTATATTTATATATTCGTTCACTTCGTTCAAATTCGTATAAACGTGTTTTTATTTGGAATGCTCATCGTCTTGAATATTTAATATATTTATTGGCTTATTTTCTTTTAATAGTAAGTGTAACATGCTTTGTTGTATTTACAACCCAAATAAAACCAAGTGAAAATTGTGGACCATTTCGTCAATGGAATGCTTCATATCAAGTCATTGAAAATTTTTTGAATGAATATCAATCATCTGTTTTATGGATATCAATTGTTAATTTTCTAACATCACCGGGTTTTATTTATTTTCTTGGTGTTACTTTTTTTGTTATTGCTTATAAATTAAAACATGAAGAATTAGCTGAAAAACAAGTAATATTTACATCATATCTTTTCTATTTCTCAACATATTGATTTGTTTGTTTTAGCTTGTATTCATACGTGATAGTAGTCTTGCAAATAAAAAAAAATTACGAGAAAAAGCAGTGAAAAAATTACATCAACAACAAAAGAAGAAAAAAGAAAAACGAAAATCTGTTAAAAAAACATCAATTGATAATGACGATGATGTTGAAGAAATCGAACGATTTTAAAAAACTATCTGATTACACATCTATTTTTCCGTCCACATATTTTTTTTTTGTTTTTCTTTTTGAAACATTAAATTCAATATTTTAATTCATCTATTTTCTTTTTTTTTTTTTATAATGAATTTTTTATAATTGAATTGTGTATTGATAAAAAAGTTTCAATCTAGACATAAATCTAGATGTCTATGTTTTTTTCTTATGAGAGGATACTACTAACTATGAAACACCACTTGTATATAAATACTCTTCCGTAGGACTATATAAAATCATAGGGAGACTTTTCTATTACAAACTTCTAATACTGGCATTTAAAATATCCCGTTATCCAGTAATGAATAGGGTAAGATTTTTGCTTCTTTTGTTTCTCGCTATAATATCGTTGTAGATATTCAAATTATTTTTCGAAAGAGTGTTCATGATTTTCTCTGTAAACCTTTTATAAGAAAATGTTTTACCTGGCGACTGATATTAGGAGGATAGGAAAGCTTGTAATTAGAAATCTAGCTGTATGATTTGATAGACATCTTAGAATTTCTGATTGTGATCCAAAGGAAATGAATCACTTGTGAGATTTTTATAGTCTCATGAGGAAAGTTGTTCAACTTTTGAATCACTTTCGACTCGAGACTATGTGCATTATATATATCCCAATGAGCTATGAATATTCTGAAAAGATTTCGTGTCTTTAACTTATTGCTACGGAGATCCTGCAGTTTTATGGTATTTTTTAAATAAATGCAGTGGTAAGAGAAAAATTGACTTAAAGCTTTGCATACAGACAGGTCCTAATGAGAATAGGTTTTTTTTTTAAAGTGTCAGATCTTTTGGTTCGCTTCTACTATAAAAAAAGAACATCAAATCTGTTGGTTTACATAAGTGATATAAGAGACATTCTATTACCGTAGATGTATCTTAGGATAGGAACAGCGATAAAACTTGAAACATCTACAGAAAAACTATTTTCGTTAAGACCTGTTTGTATACAAAATTTCAAGTCTGATTTCAAAAATCAGTTTTTCTAGATAACAGCATTTTATTTAAAAAAAAATACCGTAAAAGTGCAGTATCTCCGTAAGAATCAACCAGCGACTCGAATTTCTTTCAAGCTATTCATAGGTCATTGTTTACCGCTTTGGATGACGAAAAGGGTTTTTAATTTTAATTTTATTTCATTTTTAGGATCCTCCAAATCTTAAAACTTCAATGATTCTATCCATCGAATAAGAAAAAGGACTGCAGTTCACTAGATCGAACACTGTCTAAAAGTGAGCATCAAATATGATCGGACTATATACCAATTAAAAATTCAAACTAGAGTTTCGTCGAGTGACTTACTAATTACATGTTGGTGTCGTAACTGCAATAGTGCTTATAATTTTCGTATGGATAAGGTATTGGTCTTTTCACTAGAGAACTTTAGAAACTCATCATGATTTCGGAAGAAATCGTTGAAAATTAAAAGTCGTTCTTAGAAATTTTCCAACAAAACATCTGAGGGGTCATGTCTATATGCTTTTCCTAACAGCATTTCTTTTTTTTTTTTTTTGTAGAGGAGGAAACCTTAAAAGATACTCAATTTAATGTAAGAAGATCCTATTCAACATGAAACGAAATGTCGTTGGATTGACTATATAACTGAACACCTACATACAAATCAAATCAATGCGGCTTCTCTCTAGTCATTTTGTTTTCTTGTCTACTGTACAGTTTTTCTATTCAATATAAACTCCAAATTGAAGCTATTAGATTTATCATTGCATAGAATATGTATTATTTTTTTTTATAGATTTCTTTCCATATGTACAAACAATTTGTTGATCCTAATTCTACAGATAGTGGAGGTTATGAGCGTCGTCCACGAGGAACAAAACAATCTGACGAAAATCATGAACATTCAAAAAAATCTTCAACTCGTTTTAATCCTCATTCAATCGATGATAATCATCTTGAAAAACCTTGTAAAGCTTGTATTGATTTTAAAGATTGGTTAAAACATAGTACTACTACTAATATTGAAAGAAAACCAACTGTTGTTGATCAACAAATTTCAATAAATTCTGAATGTCCATTAATGCGTGATGATTTAGGTCGTGCATCATGGTCATTACTTCATACTATGGCTGCTTATTATCCAAATGAACCAAAACAAGAAGAACAAAAATCAATGAAACAATTTATTAATTCATTTTCAAAATTATTTCCATGTCCTGAATGTCGAGCAGATTTTCAAGAAGAAATAGTTAAATCCCCACCTGATGTTTCGAGTTGTATTGGACTTTCAACATGGATGTGTCAACAACATAATATAGTTAATAATAAATTAGGAAAATCTGAATTTGATTGTAAACGAGTATTAGAAAGATGGAAAGATGGACCAAAAGATGGTAGTTGTGATTAATAATTTGTGTTTTTTTATATTATTTTTCGAATAAAATAAAACAAACAAACAAATTAAATTGAATTGAATACAAGACTATTTTTTTCGTCATGTACAACAGAATTTTTAAGCTGATTTAGTACCATTTATTGTTGGTGCTAGAATTTGTGGATCAACAGCAACAATTACATTAAGAACAACATTTACAATAGCTAAAAGAACAGATAATATAAGTGAAAAATTATTTAATGATATTAAACGATGTTGTTGTCGTTCTTTTGATATATCATTGGCACCCAATAAAACCAATAGACATGCATTTATAACTTGAATAAGTAAGGATGCACAAACAAGTGCAAGACCAACATACCAAAGTGTATCTTGATTTGCTTTATTACCAAGAAGAGTTTTCAATTGAACAGCATTTGTTACAAGTAATGCTAATTCAAAACTGCTATTAGCCAAAGTTTTTTTTGTTGCATAGTTATTAAATGTAGTATGTCCACAATCTAAAGTACCAGGACGATTTGTATGATCCTCTATATCTATTGCTTGTTTTGGCATTCTAGATAGAAAAAATAGATTCTTTTCTTATTCTATTCTTAAAATACCCAACAGAGAAACAACAATACACGTCTACAAGTCACAAATAGCTGACTCATATCCGATTATTTGATACCCTCCCTATCTCTTAGCTATATTTGATATTATTCAAACGGGGTACAAACATGAAGGTTGATAAAAAAAAATATATGCAAGATTAATATAATCGGTTTCTTCTTGTTTTGTTTGAATATAAACTTACATTTTATTAATATAATCGTTGCAAATCAAGTCTTATGTATGTAAAAGGAAAGAATATTTAACTGTATTTTTACAGAACAACGATGATCGTTGATAGATGTCTCGTATATTTTTTTCTTGTGCTGTTATTGTTTTTTCTCGTTTGTTGACCAAATGAGATAGATTACGGAGAAGGATCGGCAGAAAGAGAACAGTCGAGAGAAAAAAATGGTCTTGACACAGCAGATATATCAGAGTATTAATATAAGAAGAGAAAAAAATGATGACGATGATGAGCAAACAGATGATACACACGTTATCTCGTTTATTGCTATAGAATACGAGAATGAAAGTAAAAAAAAAGGCATTTGATACCATTGACAACCAATTAAAATGAATGTATGTATAAAATGTTCAGACAAAAGGTTGCCGATAAAGATCAAGGTAATTAAAAACATGAGGCTATAACATGAGACTATGTGAATGTTCAACCTTCTTCTCTTTTTTTTTCTTGTTTCTACCAACTGACATCACGTATATTAGCATATCAAAGAGAAAGAAACACATCAACCTTCAGTCATTCTTTTTTTTTTGTGCTCTATTTCAATATTTGTCAAGTTGGGCACATAATGCACAGACATACAACATCTGCTAGCATACTGACAAAAACTATTTTTTTTCAGATAGATGAAAAGATTTTTGTAATAAAAAAGTCATATTGAAATAATGATTCTAAACTTGACACATTAATAATATTATTCCAATCACCGTTAATGGTTCTTTTTGATGATGAAAAAGAATATGATCACTGGATCTGTTCGATTTTAGCAATATTATATCATCATTCGACGCTCTTACATAAATCATATGCTATTCTTCACATTAAATTTCGAGTGTTGATCATATGAATACAACTTAAGTCTTATCTTGTGAACTTTACCTTTTCTTTCATAATCATAAACATTTCGATCATTTTTGCATAGAAATCTCGTTGTCTTTCAAGCTGTCGTAATTGAAAGTAAACGATTTGATTTGTTTGTGCTAATATTTCCAAATAATACAGAAGAAACTAAAAAAAACAGGGATGTCCCAAGCGATGGATGACCCTCCTTCGTAACTTTGGAAAATTTTCGTTTTCTCTCAGCGAAAATGAACAATTTTCCTCGTTTTTTTTTTTGTTTACCAATCCACGTAATAAGACTTGAACCCGCCCCCCCCCTCTCCTCAAATCGTGATGACCTCGAGACATCCCTGAAAACCAAACAGATATTGTCTTAATCTGCAGTCTCAAATTTCGTAAACTGACGTGATAAAATAACTTTTCCTTGGAATTGTATTCCATGCAGTTATGATTGAATAAACTATTAATCACGTGTTCTCATATTATTATTCAACAGTAATAACTACTTATGTAAATTTGCAATCAACTTTTTTTCTTTAAGCTTCATAAAATATGTGCTTGTTTTACAAATAGGAGCAACAAAAATAGAAAAATTTACAGGAAATACACTTCAGCTATTTATCTACTATCCAAAAGATTTACACTTTGTGCAATCAAATGAGACATATTATATTTAGTTAAATATTGAAACACACCATTTGATCAACATATTCAATACTGACTATTACTAAATGTTGATGTCAAATACTGATAAACATTTTGTATTACAAATTCATTCAAGTAAACTATCAGTTGACTTTCCTTTCTACATAGTCCGCTATGTTTCTATCGATAATTTAATGTATCACTTAAAGAAATCATACATTGAATTAATCATCCATGAATACATTTGAAACTAAGTACAGGAAAAAAAATTATATATACGTATATAGTCAGTTTGTCAAACACGAAAACATTTCGAGTATCAACGATATTCATCTTCGTAATTAAATCAAAGTACAAGAATATTTTATTCATTGGCTCATGGTGCATTATACACATCTAATGATACACTAAGAGAAGATATAGAAAAAGTTGGTGTTTCTATCATTTTATTAAACATAGTAAATAATATTTTGGTTGTAGAAATTGTACTACACTAATTACTTTCTGACATATTGAAATAATAGTAAAACGAAATTTCTTTTAATAGTCATTTTATGAGAAGAAGAAAAGTCTCAAAGTATAAAAAATACTTCTACGCATTTTCGTCTATCAAAACTAATGTTATCTCTACTCCATGAACTTCATCTTACAAACCTTCTCAAACTCAGTTAATAGATAGTTGATACTCATATCAAAGTTTACTATGAAGATTGCTGAGAACTTTGTATAGTATTAAAGACAATTATACACATGCATTATAAATTAATAAGATGAGTTTTACAGTAAAATAGATATTGATTAACTTATTTGTATAAACCCAAAAATAGTATTGTTAATAATATACACTATTTATCTTTTAAACTAATCGGATGATCTTATTAGTAATGCACACGGTTGATGCCGTATGATAGAACTTAAATTTTAGTAGTAATATGATTTCTAGATATAATTGAATTGATATAGAATATAAAAAATGCAATGCTAATCAAACAAGTATTTTTTTTACTTTTACGAGTGAACAATCACATAGAAACTATAGAAATGAATGAAGAAAAAAATTACATATGATATATGTTAGGAATTTGATTTCTGGAGTAAAATTACAGAAAATGAAAATAAATATTATAAAACGAAATCATTCAAAACCATTAGAAAATTTTTACATACAAACATAATGAAAAAGATCATTGATGCCTAACATTATTTGAATTATTACTTATGCAGTTTTTATATCAAATGATTTGAATTTGCACATAGCTTTACGATGAACATAAATACTTAAAACTTTTAAAGTTTTTTCGTTCAATGGAACCGATATTGAAACATGTCAAATGTAAGTAACGAACCATAGACAAATAAATAGACAAAATAAAATCAAAGTTGAGAGCATTAAAAATAGAAATACCAAACATCAGGAAGTATACATAAAATATTCAATTAATATATTAAAACTATAAGAAATGTTAAGCAGAATAGTAGCCAGCGATAAGGATATGAAGTACAAACAAGAAAAGATGACAAAAAATAAGCAGTCGAAGACAACTCTTAAAATATTAACATTTTTGTTTCATATAATAAAACATCTTTGTCGTGAGTAAGACATAAAAACTACAGCTCATGATCACGCCGTTTACTTCACAGCTCTATTAAATTGTTTCCTCGACTGAAGTTCATAAAAACTATTCTTTCTATACACTATCACTGATGTCTGTCTGATAAATAATATTTCTTCTTACCAAAGTACATACAAGGATATTGTATAGATAAAATGCTTCAATAGAATTAATTAGTAAATATCTAATTCAATGTACTCTATCGAAAGGTTGAATAGTTGGAACGATTTGAAAGCGTAGAAGGTCAATAATATTTACGATAAGAATAATAATTAGACATTTTCAAATACTAATGTTCTTACTCTAAGGATTTAAAAAAAATATTCTTCTGGATCAAGTACGATTTACTTTACGTTGTAATATTCAACTTTTGTTTTCTGCATATCAGTATGCAGCTAAAGTTTTAAAATAATATGATTTACTAATGCTGCATTAATCTTTCTGTATATGTTAAAAGGATTTCTTTAATCAAAGTTTCCTTTTATAGGAATATGATAAGCAAATATTATTACTAAGTATTATTGTTGGTATCATGAAAGCAATTTTTAAACGAACTAGTTTTGAAAACTTGCTCTATGTGCATCAATATAATGTCATTGATGCAGTTTTTCTTTACTTATTATTATTATCTTAGATAACAATTGAAAATCATCTATGGAACGCTTTATACGCATTTTTCTTACTTCACAGTCGGTGTAATGTCGTTAATGAGGCCAAAAATATAACTTGATAGTAGTAGTATTTGTGTATGTTATCTATATGAAAAAATCACTGTAAATAAGCTTATAATATTAATAAAAAAAAAACTCAGTCCATACGAGCGAACCAAAATGGAGATGTTTCAATTGTTGATAGTAGTGCCATTTATAGCTCATCCTATATAATAACTTCTACAAGTTCTATTAATATCGTCATACATAATAAAAAATCAAATATATTTGTACTTATTGTACATTATTATCTTGTATAATTGATGAAAACTTGATAACATACTACCCTCATGGTTAATATCCTTCTGATATTGTTTTCCTATTTGCGGATGATCTCGCTCTTGTTCTATCGGGTTCACTGGAAAAGAGGTTCACTGAAAATGTTAAAGAACTTGAAGACATTGCAGCTGTAGTCCTGAAACAGCTCGAAAAATTTGCAGAAGACCTAATTCTACCAGTAAATATTTCTAAAACAAAAGCCCTTCTTGTCCACAGTATTGTATC